CAAAAAAAAAGAGACCTCTCGATAACCTCCCACACATTTAAAGTTCGAAGATCATTTCCTCAAACGGTTTATTTTCTCTTGTTTAGTTCAAACGAAAGGTTAATACAGTAATAGTGGCTCTGAAATGTCGCGCAATCGCTTATCTTAACAAATATTCCTATTATTACCGCGAAAATACATTATAGCATTCTTTCGCCTAATTATAGTGGAAAGAATAAGCGAGGTTGATAAGCAACTGTTCGTGAAACTCAGACTACTTATCGCGTTGCAATTTGTAAACAAACTTAATCTGAACGTGAGTCGTCGAGAGTCGAAGGTTAAATGTTAAGTTTCCGTTTCCTGTTAAACATTCAGCTTCGATAAAATCGGGTATCGACCGATTTGTGAATGATAAATTATTATTAAACAGGAAACAGGAAGATAGAATAACAGGAAAATATCATTTGCAAAAAATTCCATATTGTATTTCGTTCGATTCGAAATCTAGCAATAATCTAGAAAAAACACGATCAATTCTGGATAAATGTCTGGAATTATCGTATTTCTTAAAAAATAAAAATGTCACTAGAAAGTGTATATCGAGGATCTCATTTTTTAAACTGTACGATCCCAAAATAAATTATTTTCTTGTAATTGCAGCAAGAAAATATTATCAGATCTATTCAAAATTCATTTTAAAGAAACGAGAAAAAGAAAGCTTACGTATTTATTATTGTTTCAAGTTTAAAATTAAAAAGAAATATATAATTAAAATTTTTTAAAAACTCGAAATTATTCAACCTTGCGAAACGAAATATTGGAACGAACTACTTCTAACATTAATCGATTAACAAACAAAAAGTTCAAGAAACAGTTCCGCGACGAGTTATAAAATTTCTTTTCACTTTCCCGTTTCAAAAATCCTCGAATCCTTTTAATTCGAATCCGAAAATTGAAATCGACGAATCGCTCGATTATAAATTTCTGAAATTTCAATCAATAAATTTAAAATTATCGAAAAATTACCATTCCAGTGAGTGACACAGTTCATTCCAACATCTCCAAGTTATTATATTCGACAACAGGGGTAAGGAGAAATTGAATCGCTCGGTGAAAAATCCACCGGCGTAACTGTCGGCTCCGCTGTCTCGCCGACAAATGGCTGAAGAAGTCTCCCCTCCCCTCCTCTCCTCTCCCCTTCCCTCCCAGATATACAGGTGTCTAGAGTCTAGGTCTCTCGCATAATAAAGACGTTCCTCCCTCCTCCCTGTTGCGCGTCTTCCATAACCCCGTTGTTGCCTCATCCGACAAAAGGCATTGTTCTTGCGAGGCGGCGCAACCGAATAATTGCCTTATCGACGCGGCGCAACTTTCCTGAATTGCGTACTTGTTGCACCGGGGCCGGCTTCCCTTTACGCTCCGTGCACATCCCTCTCGAGCCCGCCAACTTCTCTTCCACCCACGTGGAACCGCGCGATGGAGGGG